AATTCTAGAGTTTATATATTTTCCTTCTGTGGTCTTTGATAGAGTTGAAGACAGATAGTTATGGTTATAGTTTTCTTCAGTTATTATAAAAGATAAGTTACCGTTCTTTTTATTTTAGACAGAATAGAGGAGATGATGGGGGAAGTACTTCTGTGTATGTTTATCTTATTGATTGTTAAATAAAATACTGTTTGGCCAATGGCAAGCAAGGACTAGGAGTCAAAGAGGATTCTGGGAAATGTAGTAGAGAAGTGATGATCCAGGCAGGAAGTGACATGGCAAGGAGACTCATATCTAAGCAAGGAAACAGGAAGTGTTTCTTTTTTCCCCTCCACTCCTGCTCCAGCGGCACAATGTGATCCACCAGCAAGGAGGGACGCCAATAAGGCATCCGATAAGTCTTATAAAATATATAGATTTATGATAATTAAGACTGAGCTAAAAGATGAGGAATCCTAGTCATTGATCAAGCAGCTTTGAACGTAATACAAGTTTCTGTGTATTCATTTGGGCCCTAACTCAGGTGGGCGGCTGGCATAAAACTCACACGTGGCGGTGGGGCTCAGGTGGCTTTTGGCAGAAAGATTAATCGTAACAGGAGTATGCTTGTACTGGCAAGCTTCTTTCCATTTATTCCATATGAGCTCTCAATCTACTGAATGGTGCCATTCTCGTCCAGGGCAAATCTTACCCCCTTAATCATTTTTGGAATGCAGAAACAAACATAGGTATACTTTACTAGTCTCCTAGGCATCTCTCAGTCCAAACGAGGTGACAATTACGTTACCCCATTTAGTTACAAGAGTGTCTAGGGAAAGCAGATTTATATGAAAAGTCATGGGTTCAGACAAAAATAATGATTTATATGACAAAGGAGAAATTGTAGAGCAAATATTGCAGCAATATTAACAATCTTTGCCAAAACTCCAACTCATTCATTAAGACTTAACAAATTCAGCTGAGCATAATGGATACCCCTGAAATACCAACACTATGGAAATTGAGGCAGGAATATCCAATATTCAGGGCCAGCCTGGGCTCTATAATAAAAACACTGTAGATAATTTTTTTGTAATAGATTATAAATTCTTTCAAGGGCCCAGAACTGTTTTTTTTAAGAACCTCTTAATTAACCTTTATCTCATCTCCTTAGCAAAGTGAGTTATTATTTAAGTTAGACTCAGTATCAAAATTCTTCCTTTACAGATTAGTGGTCAAACATGCAAATCTACTTTTAATCAATAACAAGAAAGGATCCTATATTCAATGCAGGAATCACAAGGCTGTTGATTGGTAAGTAACAGGACTGTTGATTTATACGTAACAGAAAGTCAACTGAAAATAGCCCCAGTACTTTCTCATTGACACAAACTACTGAGAAGTCTCCAATAAATGGTTTTATGTGCTCAATTACTTGCCATCTGTCTCCTTGGTTGCTTGGTGTCCTTCCCATGATATATGTTCCCTAGTGAACAGCAACCTGTGATATAAAGGTTTTCAGTCTCTGTGTGCATTTAGAATTTTTGAGATTGGTATCTATTTGTTACGTTGATGGGTCCTTAGCCTTTGTGTATGTCTGTGCATCCCATGGATGTATTATCCATGGAGGACAAAAGAAAGCGTCATAGAGGAGGGGGAAGGAGAACATGAGGGAATGTTATGGTCAAGAGGAGGAAAGGACAGAGAGGGAAAGCAAGGAAAGAGATATCTTGATTGAGGATAATTATGGGGCTGGTGAGAAACCTACTAGGAAAATTCCCAGGTATCCACAAGGATGACCCCAGCTAAGACACTAAGCATCAGTGGAAAGGGTGCCTGAACTGGCCTTCCCCTGTAATCAGATTGATGACTACTTGTATTTTTTTCATAGCATCTTCGTCCAGTAACAGAAGGAAGCAAATGCAGAAATCCACAGCTAAGCACTGGGCCAAGTTCCCAGAGTCCAGTTGAAGAGAGTGAGGACAATAACATGATCAAATGTATCAAGTCCAGTTTGGAGATATCCACAAAAACAGCTGACCCGAGCTAGTGGGAGCTTGTTGACTCTGTACTGACAGCTGGGAAACCTGCATAGGGCCAAAGTAGGCCTTCTGAATGTAGGTGACAGTAGTGTAGTTTGGGTAGTCTGTGGGACCAATGGCAGTGGGCCCAGGATTTATCCCTAGTGCTTTAGCTGGCTTTTTGGAGCTCATTTTCTTTGGAGGGATAACTTGCTCAGCATAGATATAATGGGGAGAGCCTTGGTCCTGCCTCAAAGTAAGGTGCCAGAATTCATTGACTCCCCATGGGGAGGCTTACCCTCTCTGAGGAGTGGATGGGGGTAGGGTAGAAGGAAGGAGAGGGTAGCAGGAGGAGGGGAGGGCTTGGAAACTGGGATTGGTATGTAAAATGAGAAAAGATTGTTTATAAAATAAAAAATGATAAAAATAAGTCCAAGGACATGTTACTTTGCAAGAGAGGTTCTCCTTTAGTTTCCACAGAAGATGAAAAGTTGCAGATTCCTTCCAGGATAATACGGTTTGTTCAAACAAGACTCCCTGAAACAATGGCCCAGGTGATCCTACATCTTCAGGACTGCTGGCTGAGATGACCAACCACACAAAATACCCCAGTCAGGACTTGACCATAATTCTAAATTTTCTAAGGTTCCCTATAAGATTAACAGTGCCCCTAATCAGCAGGAAGTAGTCTGGAAAACTATGCCCAAATTCACAAATACTGTTTATCAATGTTTGTTTTCATTTAAAGAGGGTTGGTTATGAATGGTTAATGGTCACAGTCAACCTCTTTTTGGAGAAAAAAAAGGATATGATATAGAAATAAATACTTTATATTGGTATCGATTTTGGTCTATTGATGAAAATTGAAGGTCAATTTTATTATACTGTATATATTTCTACTCTTGTTTAAGGTGTTATGCTTATTATGCAGCTAATTTAAAAATGCAATATATAATTAAGAAATAGAATTAATAGTCAAACTTATAGTTATATTAGTTAGGTTTTCTAGATACACAGAGATATATTTCAGTTGGACAGGTAAACTTCAAACACTTCAAAGACCTAGAGAATATGCCATTTAAAATGCTTTAAGAACTTAGACTTTTCTTGACAGTGAGACACATCTGCTCCTGGCAGCACCAATTACTTCAGAGAGGATGATGGGCATCAGAGAAACTCTTAATGGAATTTCCCTTCAGTGTGGCAGGGCTAGCCATTTGGACAAGAAACTGTTCTTGCCTGGACTGTTTGATGGTGTGCTGTATGAACTGGACATACAGAACCCCAGTAAAGTGGCAGCTAAACTTGCCAAGATAAGACAGGATGGTCCTTCAAGGGTTCCTGCTTCACAGAGGAAACACAGAAGAAAGCAACTGACAAACTTTGTCATTCCAAGACAGAACAGATCTTCAAATTTACTGCTTCACTGAGAAGTCTGCCACACACTCCAGGCCTATAGGCTGAAGATGTATGCCCCAGTGTTGCAAAGGAACTTTGGGTGATTGTCCAGGTAGCCAGATGTCTGTCATTTCTAGAATTTTGGAAGATGCTTGCAATGCACTTCCTGTTTACTTAGGTAATATTATATCCTTCTGGGGTTTTTGGTGGAGTTGAAGACAAATAATTATAGTCATAGTTTTCCTTAGTTATGATAAAAGATAAATTAGATATAAAACTTTAGACTCACAAAAATAGGATAAATGATAGAGTATTTTCTTTAGTTTTGCCAAATGTAAATAGACTAAATATTGTAACTGGAATTCTTGCATGACAACTGTTTTGTTATATGTAATTTTACTGTATTAAAATTAAAACCTTCTAGCCAAGCAGTGGTAGCGCACACCTTTAATCCCAGCACTCAGAAGGCAGAGGCAGGTGGATCTCTGTGAGTTCGAGACAAGCCTGATCCACAAGAGCTGCTTCCAAAGCTACAGTCTCCAAAGCTACACGGAGAAACCATGTATCAAAAAAAAAATAAAACATTCCTCTTTTAATTAGAAAAGGGGAGATGATATGGGTTGTCCTTCTATATGCTGTGAATGTGTTGCTTTCATTGGTTGATGAATAAAGCTATTTTGATCAATAAGAAAAACCAACAAAAAGAAAGCATCATATACCTTAAACTGGAGTTACAGATGGTAGTTAGCCAGCATGTGGAGAGTGGAAATCAAAACCTGGCCATGTGGAAGATCAAACGGTGCTCTTAACTATCTTTCTAGCTCCTCTCAGGGCAGCTCACAGGTGGAAAGATAAAATCTCTCCTCAGCACAACTACAGAAACTGCAGATAACAATACACCACTAGATATCGTTTAGAACTGGCTTGAGCATGGGATGCAAAGGTAAACTGTCACACAAACAAACAAGCAAGTGTTATTCTTAGTGTTCAGGAGCTTCTATGTTACTGAATTTTAAATGAGCAAAATGATGTCTCATTCAAATAAGAGTATCAGGCCCAACTTCTGTAAGGATTTAAAGTGACCCCAGTCTCATCCCTCTCCCTTGAGGCTAAATTTTGCAAACTCACTTACCTTCTTGAACAGGGAGAAACAGGGCATGCGGGTAGGGCTGGAGTAAAGAAAGAGGAAAAGAGCTCACTAACATTTCAGAAATACAATCTGTCCATGTGTTTCACAATATACAGACATATTTTTGTGTGTGGCTGTGCTCATAAAAGGTAACGTGTATACTACAGAGCTATTAGAAGTTTTGTGTGAAGGAGGTGAAAATACTTGATAAGTAACCAATGCCCATTTCCAGCTTACAGTTATATATTCAGTTGAACTATATCTAAGATATACTCAGATATTGTTCTCCCCCTTTAGGTGGTCCATTGAACAGGAACCACATAAAGCAATAGATGTGAGTTGAGGAAAGTGTCCTGGTACAATCATAGTAGATAATTTGGTGTTTGAATCATTTGCTCATGTAGCTTCTTCATACTCTCTGGACATATCTGGGCTTGAGTCTCAATGAATAATTTCCATCTTTTAACATAGTGTTGCCGAGTCCACATAAGATTGTAGCTTTATGAGTCTGACAAGATTCAACCCTTATTGGCAGTTTCTAGGGTCTTTGTGACCCATGATCAACTGCTGCATCCTAACCAGTGCCTAGTAACCTACTACAGAATGACAGAGACACATTAAATCCCTCCACTAGGAGTTAGCATAAATTCCATACATTTTTGACACCCCAACTCTAAGTCCTCTAAATCAGTAAGACTGCACTGTAGCCTGGACCTGTTGCAGACTTCTTTGTTGTTCTATACCCATTTAAAGTTGGCTACATTTGTACCACCCAATAACTTCCCAAAACAGTATTTCTAAATATGTAAAGTATTGTTTCAAAGACTTAAAGAAGTCATGGGTATTGTGGCTGCCAGTCTTTATGGGAAGTATAGTAGATTCACCAATTGTATTTTACTTTACAGAGAATGTGTTGTTATATCCTAAACTCTGGATCCTTAATTGTTCTACTGACATATAAGATTCCTTCTAGCCACCTCTTTTCCTGTCTCATTCTATCAGATAAGGTGACTCCAATAGAAATATGTTAACTACATTTTGTCTCTCATGCATCCATACTGAAATAGGAGACCATGATAATATTCTGAAACTCTGAGGTTCAATGACAGCTCAGGTATTTATCTAATAGTCTTCATTTTGTCTTTTCTCCAATTTAACCATAATTTATGATTATATCTAGCCCTTTTAATACTGTACTTACCATAGTATTTAAGGATGCATTCTCCCAGGAATTCAGAGACCAGTCAATGGGTTATAGTTCCAAAATGTGGCTTGGATTTTGGAATGTGCAATGAGCCTGTACTTTCTACAGAATAGTACTAAGTCCTCTATGTCTACACTACTGTTTCCTTTTGATTAAGCAGCATCCTGGTTGGATAGTCATCAGTTTTGCCCCTAGAGAGCTGTGGCTTTCAACCATCATCACAGTGTGCTGCTGGTTAAGACTCATTGGCAGCCACTCCAATGATTTCTAGTCATAATGATAATTGCACCCCCATGGCTTCTGCTGATTAAGCACTACCACCTGTCCAGTTTTGAGGCCTATCATCCCTGCTGCTATGAACAAACCAAGCTTTGTAGCAGCCTCCCCCTTGCAACCCAGGCCAGCATGCATCCACAGCCAAAACAAAATGCCTTAGGAATGCCGATGGCCATCTCAGCCATGCTTTTCTGATAACAGCCTTGGTGAATAATTGTCTTCTGGGCTTTTCCATGGGACAAAATCCACTGGAGACTCCTTTGGCATTACATAATAAATGCATCATTATCTGTACATTTTCCTCACATTCCCCGTTTCTTACTGTATCATTTGTTATAGTAATTAGTTATTTATGCTTAATTCATGTTGGGCTACCCCTTTCTTTGCACATTTAGGAAACACCAGGCAGTGACTTTGCCCCATCCCCCTGAAGTCTTTGCCAAGGTGTCCCAGTACAATGATGTGACATCAATAAGTTCTCCTTATCAGTCTCCAATCAGTATCCTTATTGACCTCATTGATCAGTCACCCTCAAAATTCAGTTCACTGTTACCCCATGGCTTTTGTAAACTCAGGGTTAATGGGTTTCACAGCTCCCTTGGAATACGTCCTCACCCCATTAGACCCAGAATATCCTCATCTGAGTGACTTTAGCATAAGTTCTTTCTATTGACAAATATCAGTTTTGCAAAGTATTACATAAGCTCTTAATGGTGGGAAGTAGGCAACCTCTGAAGATTCTTTGTTCATAGGAGCTCGAAAACCCATTTGTCAGAGTCACATGTATCCCAATCTCATCTTTCAAAGTCCAAGATTTTTCCCAGAACTCTGACCTTGGTAGAATACAATGACTCAACTGAGCCTTTAAACATCTTTGAAGGACAGTGAATATGACAATTAAATCATGAGTTCTGTTCTCACATTTTTCCATCCTCCTACTGAAGAAGATAAGTGCCTTTTTGTAAACTACCAAAGAGGCCTCTGGCCTTCACATTTGCTTTTCAATTGTTCGTTAACCACTGCTCGTTTTCATTATCTCTCTAGAGTGTCTTTGAAACATACTGCAGTCAAGCAATTCCATTGTCCTTCTGTGCATTGTGATTATTCCAGCAAAGCCTTTCAAGTCCCTGCGCCAGTCAGAACATCCCCCACCAGCAGAACTCTACACTGAACCACCACCAGTAAAAGTTCTAGCCATGACATTAGATCATTATACCAGAGACCCTTCTACAACCCAGGATGGGGTCCTCATCTCCAGGTAGGTAGTGATTAGCATAATCCCAGTTCTTCACCTTTCCTCTTGATTCCTCA